AGGGCTTGATGCTGGAAGGTTCATTAGTTGTTCATTATTGTTCATAGTTGTTATAATAACTAGTAGGGCTGGTCCCAGTAGAACTTTCTGCTCTCTGGATATTCAGGCCCAATTAATGATTAATATCAGAATATTTGTCCCGGTCGAGGAACACTTCCACCCCGGGGCAGCGCTCTGACGGGGTGGAAGTGTCCAGAACACACAGGCAGTACTTGGCTGCTGATGCTAGTTTAGTTAGCGCTCACACTTCTGTTTCCTCCATCGGTGGCGGCGGGGGAGTGGCAGATACGCTCCACCGTTACCATCCATGTTTACTTCCGTAAACACTGAGCGCGCTCGCTGCGTGTGACGTCGTCGTGTCCTCTTCTGCGCATGCGGGACACTTTTGGCTCGTATGAAGTTCACACAGCAGATCACATACAAGTCGCATTGAAGTGGAAACGTGAAGGAAGTCACAAAGAAATCCTCATTGAGCATCAAGTCCTGCAGTGTGAACGTAGCCAATCTGTGGGATTGTTCAGTCAGATAATACGCCGTCATCCTGATTGGTGACATTAAATGTCATGTCGGAGTCACAATCCAAGGCTGTCGCTATGTTAAGGCTGTTTTTATGGGTTCTGTTGGTTTTTCCTAAAAACCTGTCAGATAGCAGGTTTAGGATTGTTAAGGGTCAGATTATCAAGTCATGACTGTAATCCATCATACTGTTGTTGTAGAAGTACATGGCCACACTTTAAAGAGAAACTCATTGGTGGTCAAGAAGCTGCGTTTATAGAGTGACTAATTATAAGATGACTGGTAGATGTACTGTACATGGCTGCTAAGGGAAACGGGGGAATTAGAGTAGCATGGCAGAATAAAAGTTTCTGTATCTTTCTTATCATATTTATTTCACCATAAAACTGGCCTGTTATCACACATGGAGCACGCCAAACCTGCAAAGCTCAGTTAACCGATTTTTATTTTGCTGCGGGCACATTCATATTAATCTTAATGATGAAAATTGTATCGCATGTCAGCGATAATGAAGACTATATAATATGATTCCTAATAAATGATGTAGACGCATTTCAGCAGAAGTAGAATTACATCCTGTAAAGTTTCACTTCTTACATTTACATAAAGGCTTTCGTTCTGCTGTATAAACTTAACAGTGAACTGTAAAAAGATGTGTTCTTTTTCTGCTGGAAGCTTTCTTCAGTGTGTTTTGTGAATTCCTTCTTTAATGCACATTTAACAGATTCTTCGGGGATTAATTAAGCATAACAAAGGAGTTAAAATTTGTATTTTGTACATTGATTAGAGTTGTTATTGGTTTTTTTTTTTGGACCTTACTGTACTGAAATTTGTGCAAAGTATTTTGTGTTTAGCAATATTTTTTTAGCTGCAGACAGCATCCACATGGAAGACATGACAGCTCCCCAGAAGTGAAGTCAAACTATCTTGGCCGCCCACTGAGACTGTTTGCATTGTGGTCGTTTGTCTCGCATAGACAGCCCAACCTCTACAGCGCTGCACTCCATTATCATCATGTTACAGAGAGGAGAAACACTTCTTTAAGCCAATCACTGTTGTCTTGGGTGGTGCTCATCTCAGGATGCAGCAACTGTGGCCCCTGCAAACAGTTCAGAGGGGAACTTGTTTTGGTGGAGCATTTGCACCAGGGGAAGGTGTGTACTGTCATTAAACCTTCAGAAGGTCTTGGAGATGTTTTTCATTGTCAACGGCATTTTGAAAGTGTTGACATGGAGATAGCACGATGGAACGTGAAGGGCGTCGCCAAAATGGCCGACTTATACCCGCAGTCTGTATCTTAAGTTTTTCAAGTGATAATTTCTCTGACTTGTTTGGTTTCAGTTATTTATTTAATGCTTTTAAAGGGTATTTGTCAGTATGAGGAGTTTGTGCTCACGTTTGGACAGAAGGCGTGACACCAATAACACCTAAGAGCTGCTGCATAGATTGTAAGTAACCTGGCCGGACACATTTTCACAATATTCTGGCTCCACTTTTGTACGTTTTGAGGAAGTGGTGGCGACCATTTATCTTTGTTTACAGTCTGTGATACGAACCTTTAGAACCAAACACTCTCCAACCAGTGCATTTATTGAAGGGCACTGATCATTTGTGTTTAATGTGGTTAAAGCAGAAACATTACATCGATCTCAAAGTTTGAACCCTAGATGTTCCTCTACGCCGCAGGATGAGCCAATCTATGAAGTCCCTACCTCTATCTGTACCGTCTGCTTCATTCGTTCTTCAAGTGTTTTCTAGCAAACCACAAAAACACCAAATGGACGCGTTAACACAGTTGATTTCCATATTGTTGTCCACAGGCACTTCAGTCCTGCAGGAGAACGAACCTTTAGCTGCATAACATCCCTGCAGACATGTGAGGACAGCAGGACACACACCGATCAGTCTGTAGCAACAGGGTGGTTCTGTTTCACACAGCTGGGTTTACCTCGATGAACTCACACACAAATGACGCCTAGCAGCTAGAAAACAACCCACACACCTCTACACACATCAGACCGGTCAATTAGAACTCCTTCTTATGCAGGAAATGTCCAATTAGCGGGTCTCACCCACCCTAGAATGTTGTTCCTTGTTTTCTTTTTAGGATGCATGATGGTGAAAGTACTGTTGTTCACCGGTTATTACATGAGCTGCAGCTGAAATATGGCTGAACAGTGGCAGATAAATGGCTTCACCTACATTTAAACTGAAACTAACTGGGAAAAATAACAGGTAAGATAAAAAAATAAAAAAGCAAGTCTATATATATATTTTTAAGAAGAAGCTTGTCTTTAGAAACCCTTCCTCACCTCATCCAGCAGCTGGAGGTGCAGCAGGAGGCGCAGTGAGCTCAAAGGTTATGCAGTACAGAACCCAGCAGACACAGCACTGAGAGATGGTGTGCACCAGGAAATGGATGCCCTTGTCAAGTATAGCAATGGGAAACTACAACAACAGGAGGCTGTAGTGTTGGAGGGAGTAAATTATCAACACACTCGGTAGCAGTGTTACAGTAGCAGGTGGGAAAAAAAGAGTATAACCAGCTTCTGTGTTAGTCAACAGAGTCCATGTTTAAAGATCACCTCGTTTAGTTAATGTAGTGCCCTGCTCACTAGAATGAAGCCTAACATGTATCAGTGCTGCTGCTGATTAAGGTCTGATTGATTCATGTCGATGCCCTCATGAGGCTTTAGAAGAAGTAAGTCTGTGTTTCCATGTCAGGCTTGGAGGGACGTTTCATTTTCTTAAAGGGCAGAAGTGAGCTCAGGTTAAGAAGTTGTACCTTTGTTCTGTCCCTCTGCCACAGCGGGTCACAAGGAAACCTTAGTTCATATATCAGAGAATGTTCTGAGTTACACATCAGGATCTCGCTCTAAAAATAGATTTTCAGATTTAATAAAGACTTGTGTCACTGGGGTTTTTTGTCCAAAGCACAACCCCTTGGATGTAGAGCCGCCGCGGTACGGTCCACCTGGAACACTCCATCAGCCAAACGAGCTGTGATTGGTTTGGCAGTTCCTTATTTGAAACAAGATGAAAGTCAAGTGAAACTCCGGTGTGGAAATGAACCTGGAGTGCAAATTATAGGTGACTTTATGCTAACTGCCCAACAGACATTACTGCCAATTGCCCTCAGAAATCCACCACAAATTACACACATTACCAAACAATTGGCAATTAAATGCCAGCTGCTAGAAAGCACATTATTCTTTATTTGAAGTGTGACTACCTGATGGATGTGAGTTCGCTGGTTGTTCTCCTTGTGCCTTTGTTTTGGGCTCTACCACCTCCTGAGGGAAGCTGTATCTGACGCTCGCCTGCTAATTGCTCCACTTTGTTCATTATGTATTGTACTTCCTAAATTTGTCTGCTGTTTAGAAGTGAGCAGTGAGCTTATGAGAGTGTTTTTGCTGAAAACAACTGTCTCCTGCTGTTAGGGAAAAAGAATTTGATGAGAGCGTAAATTTAGAGACTGTTAAGTGACCTCCAAGAGTTCGCGCAGGCCCGATCCCAATCCCCACACTCGCAGACTTTAAATAGCGTTCTGGCTAAGTGCTTGAGGGCTCGGGGCCGTCTCGCTGTCAAATCGTCTAGTGCAAGAGGGCTCTGCTGCAGACTTTTCGATGCAATTAGCCCGTTCTGTGAGCACGCATATCTGCACAAAAAGTTCATAGTGGAGCTAGTGACGTGTAAATGTGGGTTTCCTGCCTCCCACAGAATGTACACAAACCAAGCATGGATGGTGTTGTTTCATACGTCAGTCACTGCTTCTGGCTGCTCGGCTTTGGTTGTTTATTGCTCTTTTGTAGATTTGTCTCCAGTTAAATGTACTGATAGGATTTACAGATGCCATGGATTTCCTGACTTTTGCTAAAGAGTATAAATGCTATAATCCCACAAATAAGGATTGATCAGCTTCACAAACTGGGAATACAACACACGGTAGGATGGGGCAGTAGAGAAGAAACGTCTCTTATAATAAACTGTCAAATTCAGTCAATGTAATTATAATTATAGATAAGTTGTAAATGACCCAGTAGAAAAAGGTTTATTTTGAATTTCACCACCTTACTTTGAACCTCTGAAGCCTGTTTGTCACATTACACCATTTATACACTTCACACAACAATGATCACCAACTGTTGATGGTTGGTGGTCGTGTTCTGACTGAGCAGAGTGTGTTTGTTTGGCATCGTCCTTTTTAGACAGAACTTTTGGATCTCTGGTAACTCATCAACCAATTTTAGAGAAATTCACCTCTTTATGGTACTGATTTATTAATTCATTTTTTCAATCCTGTTTTCTCATCCCCAAGAAAAGTTTTGAAACTCACATGTGCATCTTGGGGATTGTGTGAACATGTTGGGAACTGGATCTTTTGCTTAAGGAAGCCTCATATGGACGTCTCTATATGTTAAGATGTATGTGCTCTAACAAGTGACTGTCTTTATTCATGTGGTCGTATTTGCCGTGTGTTTTAGGTGTTGGGCCGTTCTGGAGATTGTCCCTCAGACGTCGTTACCAGAACGGAGAATGGCAGCAGAGACGACGACCCAGCCCGACTACAGCAGCCCATCTGGTCCTCCATCCTCAGTCGTCCCCCACCTGTACTCCAACATCTCACTAGAACAGTGAGTCTTCACAGTTTTGCCTCTCCTGTTATGTGTTTGATTTTAACCAATGATTCTTTAACTATCAGCCTGGATGAAGCAGGATTTGTGTAAAAAGGTACGTCCAATGGAAGGTGTATTTTTGACATGTTTGGACAAACAGATGTTTAACCCTCTTTGAGACATCGTCTACATATAAAGGTGTTATGCTTCAACACGACTGCTTTTTAGTAAATTATTCAGAGTGATATTAATAATTGAAGAAGTTTGTGCACCTGTGTTGCTCCGTTTAGCAGAAATAAGTTTAACCTAATTGTCCAGCAGTGTCTGACACCAGCTTGCTAAAAATCTGGACCACTCTTCCACACAAATCTCATCAGTTGCAAGGTGTTTGAGGGTTTTCTTGCATGTGCTGCCAGTTTCTAATCCCCCCACAACGATCCAAAGGGCTTCAAATCTTGGCTATGACACACATAACCGTCCGCTCCGTCTTTCTGAGCCTCCTTGGTGGATTTGGTTCTCAGGATCATTATCCTGTTAAAAGTTCCAGTTTTAACTTTTGGGCCAGTGGCCTCGCATTAACTCTGAACACTTTTGCTGTGATGCAGAATTCATGCTTAAATCAATGACTGCAAGCGATCCTGTCCTTGAGACAGTGAAGTAACCCCAGACCAGAACATCTATACACCATGCTTCACCTGTTTTTGGTCTATGCTCAAAACATGTCTTCTCTTACAGGTGCCAATCAAGACTATGCTGGATTCATCTGCCCGGAGCCTGTTGTTTCTAAATAATCTGGCCTTTGCCTATATGCTTATTGGCAAACTGTGGTTTTGGTTTAATGTTCTTTTCACCTGCAGGTCAAATTCGTACTGTTGCTCTCTGGCTGTAGACGCAGCACTTTGGCATTGAATGTTCCTGGGATGAAGCTGTTGGGTGTTTGGAGACTTGTGTTTGCATCACATGCTCTGCTCTTGGGCTGAATGCGCTGGGGCGGCCAGTCCTGGACACATTTCAAATCACTTGTAGGTGATGTTTCTCAGAGGGGAATCATTTATGTCAAATGAAATCTTTTTAAATCACCTGCCAGACTTATAGACGTCCACAAACCTGTATCCGAAGGCCTTAGAGAGTTCGCTAGTTCGTGACATGATGACACCGCACACTACAATAGCAAAGAGAGCAGCAGGCTGGAGATGACTGAGGTCTGAATAAGTTGGGTTCCAGCTGTCACTCTCTAAGGAGGTTCTAATTATTGGCACGTAATCTAGAACCTTGATGCTAGTTGGATGGATTTGAAGGTGTGATAAATGTAGGAGTGAATTTATTGGGCTGCAAGGTGGATCAGTGGTTAGCACCGTCGCCTCGCAGCTAGAAGGTCGCCGGTTTGCGTCCCCAGAATCTCCCTGCGTGGAGTCTCCATGTTCTCCCCGTGCAGCGTGGGTTCTCTCCGGGTTGTTCAACTTCCTCCCACAGTCCAGAAACATGGTGAACCTGAATTCACCCTGAGTCAGCTGGGATAGGCTCCGCCCCCATGACCCTAGTGAGGATTAAGCGGTGTATAGATAATGGATGGATGGATCTTTGGGTCCTGAAAAAAATCCGATACTAGTCAGTTTCATTTTAGACATGTCTGATCTTTCCTAGAAGAGACAGCTTGTTTAAATATTAATTTTATGTAATTGGTGTCTGCAAAAATGTCACTGTTGGAGGACTGTGCTGTGAATATGAGCCTTAGTCCAGAGTTTGACCTTCTTCCTTTTCCTCGTGTCCAAAACAGTTCTGGGGCTGTTCTCCTCCAGCTAAGATTTTTGATTACTGGCCAAAACCAGTGCAGATGTTCAAAGGGAACCTTCTCGTACGACTTATGTGACCTCTTTCACCATCTTCAGTCACAGTTGTTTGAACTTTTTCACCAGCATGTTGGCTGTTAAACTCTTTCTACGTCTCAGATTTAGTTTATTGTTGACCTTGGAAACAGCAGTAGATGGACAATCCCACCGCAAAGTCCACTGATTCATTTCTTCCAAAGCTTCACATCGTTATGAAGGATTTCGAGGTAAATATCAGAACATGTATAGGTCTAGAGATGGTGTTGTGCCTTTAAAATACTGAACCACAGTCTATCAAAGCAGCTATTCCAGATGAGTTGTCCTCCGTTATTGGGGGTACAATAACACATTGTCAGATACCGCTGATATCACGTCATCCTTTAAATAATTTGGCAGCTATGGAGCACTTTTGAATCCATTACATTGTCCACACCCATTCTAAGAGCATAAAGAACGGCACCGGATTTCCATTTTTGATGCTAAGTTGGGTTTTTGTCATCGGCATTGCACCGTATGCCATTCCGTCGATGCCCAAAGGTGACAGTGATGATACATCAGCAGAGAATTGTGTGAATGTGCGCAATTAACAGCTCTTGTACTGAATATGTAATTATTTCAAAGCATCTTTGAATTGTAATCGCTCCCTGGCTCGGGCCTTCCCTTTCCATTAAATCCTCTTTCATTACGCTGATTTGCAGAACAACCATTTTTCATTCTGATTGCTTGGCATGAATTTTTATTTCTGTGTTATTCTTTCCCCCCCTACCCATCACTGTTCATTGTTCATCTCCTTAAAAAACCGGAGCTCCTGTGACCCACATGGCTGAAACCACCTCGGTGACAGGTACTCTCCACTGCCGGCGTGGCAGAGCTTTCCCAGACCAACATTGCCCCCTGGTGGATTTATTTTCATTGGTCGAGTGAAACGGCATTTATTATAGTTGTTCAAATCCCAATCCTCTAACCTTGTTCCCCTCGTCTGTTGAGTGTTTTAGAGCAACTGTGTGCTTCACGTTGGAATGAAAAGGGGAATAATAAAGACAGAAGTGAGGATTGTGTGTCGCTGGAGTCTGTTTTCAGACACGATGCAGCTTTCTAAACATTTGGGACTCTTGGTGAAGGCGCAGGTGGTCATTCAGTATTCGTAGGGCTTGAAAAGGTTGAGAGTCACTGGTCACAACATAGCCGTGCCTCATTCATCAAAGCATGTAGAAACTTTCCATACATACGAGGAAAGTTCACACATGCTCACCTTTGAACAATGACAAATCTCCCCTGTTCTCCTCTTGAGCGCTTATAGACCCATTTGCATACAGGAACACCCAGAGAATATCGTATACGGTTGACTTTGAACGTCCTGGTGGCCTTGATGTAGAGTTAAATGCCAAAGTTTAAAACACTGCAGCGTCTCAGGAGCAGGCGTGTAAAGCTTTCCAACACGCACCGGGGCACATATAAAACTTTTCATAAGTCTCACTGTGTTCTCACTGTGTTGCTGGTGTTTTACAGTGTGTCCTCTGTTTATGCTTCATTCAGTTTGATCTTTCATACTGACGGACTGCTATTCATGAGACATGCAAAGGTTTTTGGTGACAGGTTCACACTGGAGACATACGGGCTGTTGTGAAGGTACTGGACGCCTCACTCTGCTCCTCGGGGATACCGTTCAGCCTTTTTCGGTCTTTTGACTGACGGCACCTGCGTAGGTTTGTGAAAACACAAGACGGTGAGCTCTCATTGTGTGATTGTTGTGTGTTCAGTTTTTAGAGCCGGCACAGCGCTGTTAGAAGTTTTCCAATAACTGAAGTTACTAAGCAACCAACAGCCGGTGGTGGCGGATAAATGCTGATCAGGACTCCGGGGTGGAAACACTGTTGGAATAAAGGAGTCAATCTGAGCGTGCTGGTGGTTTATTCCAAGACAGCTGACACTGTGTAAATGAACCGTCCACTCCTTGTATGAAGAGGGCTGGTCTGGTTTTCTATCTGATTTGTGGATCTCTGCAGCTCACACACCTGATGGAGCCTCTTTCATTGAGTACAGCGGAAACACAGTGATGCAGGATTTACAGCAGCCGCAGGGCGAGAAGTGCTTCTACAACCGACTTGTCTCTAAATGAATAAATAAAAGCACAGAATTGGTTTCAGAAACAAATGATTCACTCGGCAAAAATGACGAGTTTATTCTAATTCAAACACATCGGATTTGTTCTTAAATAGCTCTGCAGTGGTTGAGCATTTAAAAGTTTACAGAAAATATACCTGGACGAGTTGAATCAAATGAATGGAGCTGAAGTGTGACAGCTCATTATTTATGCAGATTGTTTGTCATTAATAGATCCTCTGGATTATTCAGAGCTGCGGATGCTCAGTGATGCAGGTCTGGAAACACGATTAAACAGAAACATTAACTGTATAATTTCACCGCATTCCTTCAGTGGTCGGGGTTTGTTTACCCCTGATTTGCCAGAATACGTCACAGTTTGTGTTCCACTAAGGATTGTCTGAGTCTGGCACCATTTACAGGAAGGTTTAGTCAACTTGACATGACTCACCTAAACACAATAAAGACTTTTTTTTTCCTGTAATGACTCTAATTACTTTTAGAAATATGTCAAAGTACAGAACAAAGAAAGATGGAAATGTGTCATGTTAAGAATGAGACTTTCAGTTTGGGTAAGGAGAAAACCAAATTAACCTGCTCCCATATTAGGAGAGGGGATCATCAAGATTTTGGCTTTTGTACCATTAATATAATTTATGGTTTCCTCCTGCCTTTGTGTGTCACTTTACCTCCCGTCTTCCATCCTCTCATCAGTTATTTTAAACCGTGATTACAGTGTGCTTAACAGACATCCATCATCTCTACACCTTCATCCTCATTAGGGTCATGGGGGGCGGAGCCTATCCCAGCTGACTCAGGGTGAAGGCAGGTTCACCTGGACAGGTAACCAGTCTATCACAGGGCTACACTTAGAGACAGACAACCAAGCACACTCACATTCACACCTACGGACAATTTACAATCACCAATTAACCTCAGCATGTTTCTGGACTGTGGGAGGAAGCCGGAGAACCCGGAGAGAACCCACGCTGCACGGGGAGAACATGGAGACTCCACGCAGGAAGATCCCGGGTGTCCTCACCGGGACGCAAACCGGCGACCTTCTAGCTGTGAGGCGACGGAGCT